AGGGTTATCTGGGTGTGGGTAATTATTTTCCACAAAATTTAGGTCACAAAGGAGAGGCTGCTAAACAACTTTAGGAATCTGTTGAACTAAACACGCTGTGAGGAATGAACATGGTGACCCCAGAGATGTAACCCCAGACACAAGGGCAGCTCTACATATCCAAGGTATGTGAAGCCCAGGCACAGGGGAGGCTTAGCAAAGGGCTAGCTTTGAAAGGCAGGTCAGATACAGCCGAAGCATACTGAATTTGGTCACTTAAATTTCTCATTGAAAAAGTTATTTATTCAACAGCCAAACAAGCTTTGCCTCAGCTTGATGTTGCTTGTTTTTCCACATGTATGCCCAGTTTTGACGTGTCTGGAGCTGGCAGGTCTCTCATTCATCGTTTGGGTTCAACAACCCAAGGGAGCGTGCAAACAGAAGCAAAAATTCAAGTATAGCAACCTGTCCTGCCAAGGCAAGTGGTCTTCGCAAGAGCTGTTCTACCCACCCCCCACCCTATCCTCTGAGACAAGGGCCAGTGTGGACCCAGGATAAATGCTATCACCTAGGACCTTATTGCTTATGGGCAACACACCAGAAAGAACACCTGGAAATCTGCTCAGCAGATTTGGATACTGACCACTGACTGGTTTATCATAATCTGTGTATTTATAATATATAACATAACCAGATGAGAAGAGGGGGCGGTTAAAGCTAGAATTAGATGTAGCATTACAGATCAAATGCCCCAAACAGATCTCAAACCTGCTGGTTTTTGTTCTTTCTGCATGTGTGAACTGTTATGAAAGGAAGTCCACTGCTCAAAATAGATTCTTCTAGAATACTACAATACAAACCAACATCACTCAGAACACGAAATCTGTATACAGCACATGTAATAAATACTTTTTAGAAAACTATTTACAACATTACTTCTGGTGAACATTTAGATGAGAGCAAAATTTCTTCCTGCAAAGGGTAAAAAAGTTTTGACTGTCTAGTTCAGTGCTAAATTCCCTGGCATCTAGTTATCCATTCACATTTCATCTTTACATCAGATCTGCTTACAAAGAGTATCTTAGAAAAAATTCTCCAGCATCACTATTCAAGTGTCCTCCACATTTGCTTAGAAAACACAAAGGGAGGCTTTAGGAAAACACGCAGATTACGGTTCAAATTGACTACAAAAATCCCTGTGTACCTGGTCTCCCGGCTCCCTGAGGGACCAGAGTTGTAGTTCTCAGTCCAGCTGGCAGGACAGGAGAATCAGGCCTCAGCAGAGGTGCCCACAGATGGGGCACAGGCAAGAGGAAACATGACCACCATGAGACACTGCTCCATGACAGCTACGGGTGCTCTGAACTGCAGACCAGGACTCCTGAGAAGTACAGCTGAACACATCTTACAACAGATGGTCTTCTTCTGTAACCACTGGCTATAGGTCAGACTGGCCCACATCTGCACAGGTGTTGAAATGGCAATGGGAAGTGCAGGAGAAGCAAGAGGAGGAGAGAAGCAGGAGGTGAAAGTGGAGAACAAAGGTCCTCATGAGCATAGTCAAGGTGTAGAGGAAACTGCCTATCTCCTGAGGTCAAACGAAGCAGAAACACATCTTGACACTTCCTCAAGCAGCCAGCAGTTTCTTCATATACCCCAGGTGTGTGGTTATGGATTTCCTTGGGGTTAAAACTAAGGCTCATTTCCCTGCACAGATGGAAGTGAATAGTTGAATGTAAAAAGGTGCATGTAAGAAATGGGCTGCTGGAGGTGAGCCCTAATGCCATGCTCAGCACAGCCAAACCCAGTTTATTTTGGGATGGGTGATGGTTCAGGTTCCCACTCCACATTGCATCTGCCTAAACATAGTGAGGGTTTCCAAGCCACACCTGCCTGTCTCTGCTGTGCTGCCTGCATGTTCATGGTTGGACATAATGGTGAGGATGGGTGAAAGAACATTTTTTTAAAGAAAGCCCTTTTAAGGTTAGTATTTTGTTGTTGTTGTTAAAATAATAAATATTTTCTGTAGAATTCTGAACAGAAAAATATTGCTATTTATACAGTAAAATAAAATTCCAGTGGTATTAATATGTGTTATATATGTATCAAACCAGTCTCCTAGAAAAACTGAGAGGTGCAGACACTACCATGAAATAAGAAACTTTAAGTAACAGTGGCTCTCAAACAATACCCTGCCGTGGTGCAGATCTACAAGATGAGTCAAATCTTACTTGCATGCCATCTTCCTTCTAATCAGCTCCCAGTGCTGCAGCTTCCGCTGCCAGACAACAGGGAGTGTGACCATGGGATGAAAACCAAGGGGATTAGTTGAACAGCTTTTGGATCCAATGGCTAAATACAAAAGTCAAGGAAAAAAAAAATACATTTCCTGTGACAAAAATGTGCTCAGTGGAGCACTCTGGGAGATGAGACTGTCCCAGAGCGAAGGATCCTGGAAGGCAGATGGTGGTAGAAATGGAAGGACAGAGGAAGGAAAAGGCAAGATACTGACAAAGGATGACTCCTCAAAATGGGGAGGTGAAGCAGGCCTGGCCAGGGTGGGGCTTCACTGGCCAGGCCAGAGGGCCCTGAAGTCTAAAGCTGCTGGTGTGCCCACAGGGTGAGGATGGGATGCTGGTATTTCTAAAAGAACACAAGGTCTGAATAGAAGATTCAAACAGGCAAAAGACCAGCCATTTCTGCACAGAAGTCATGAGCAAATCATGGAGATTAAGAAATTTGCAAATGTGCTAGAAAAAGGGAAACTGAGGGCTCTTGTGAACAGTTCCAAGGCCCTTTGCCTATGGGATGAGACACGATTTCAGGCTGATTTCATAAAGAAAGCATTTGTGCTGAGCACTATTGCAGTGGAGTCTTTCCCCAGAGTCAGGTTCACTCTGGTTCATAAAAACGAAGCCAGCCATACTTTTAGTTTGAAATACAGACAGAAAGGCACGACTATATGCCAACAATCATCAACAAATAATCAGGAAGGGAGGATATTGTGCCTCTTTCAAATGTATATGTATCATTCAGGAATAATGCCCAAGAGCAGCTGTGTATTAAGATCAATATTCAAGACACTCTAAAATCCAAAGGCGAACTGTTCCAACATTGGACTCCATGAACAAAAAGTGCCCAGAATGGCCATTGCAAGGATCAGTAAACTTCTGCTGCAGAGGGCAGGTTATAGTAGACTGTGAGACAACTTAATTCTGCTTTACATGAAAATTTGCTTGTCCAGTTTCTCACATGCACTGTGTTAGCCTGGGTCTCTAATAGGCAGTCCATACTTCAGGTGGCCTACATGCCAAGCACCCAGTCAGCAGGGAAAGCTGTGATTAAGCCTATTGGGCAAACCAGCCGCACAAATGCCCCTCTGAAGGATGGCGTCTAAGATGTTTCCTGAGCACGGAGAATAAATCACCAAGGCTCTGGGAAAAGCAAGAATGGACAGACAGGAGTCAAGGGAAGGAACTGACCAGTTCTGGTTCAATTCCCAGGGCAAAAGCAAGAGGGCACCCTCAACAAAGTGCCCAAGGTGGCTGCTCAGCCCCCAGGAGAGTGCAGCCCAGTACAGCAGAGCCTTGAGTGGAGAGCAGCATCTAAGAGCTCTCCAGTTTCGGCTGAATACAAACTTCTCTAAAGGAAACAGGTTACACATCCAAGTCTTCCAGAATACCCACTGTACAATATAGGACTCTGTTCAGAGCTTTTGAGGGATGGGGTCTATTGAATGCTGCCTCAAACAGCTTTCTAAAATTCTGTTTTTAGAAACATATATCCTTAAAAAGGATTTGAGAGCATGCATGGGAAGTACTTATGCTAGAATATGAAGACTGTTTTGCTGATGTGATATGCACAGTGTGACTTTATACTTACATATAAATGTATAGTAATTTCAGTTGATACCAAGCCATAGTAAGACATGAAACCAATAGCTAATGATACAAAATGACAGGCTTGTTTCAAAATTGAAATAATTAAATCACTTTCTAGACTCATTGGTATAAATATCTCACTTTCAAAAATGGCATAGAAACCTAATCCTTAAGTTTTGAGGGGAAACAAAACATGAATTTCCTGGACCTAATCCCTAGCATCTTGTCCAGAATTGCTATTTTCCCCAGAGAATTCCAAAACCCGCTTTTCCTTTATTAGCCTTTTTTTCTGTGAACAAAAATTATTTATCTTCTTTTTGAAAGGCGTAGTGACAGAGAAAGATGGCGAGACCTATAGATCTCCCATCCACTGGTCCACTCCTGAAATGGCAGCAATATCCAGAGCTGGATCAGGCTGAAGGCAGGAGCCTGGAATTCCATCTAGGTCTGCCATATGGGTGGCAAGGGCTCAAGCATGTGGGCCATCTTCCTCTGCCTTCCCAGGTGCATTGGCAGGGAGCGATATGGAAGTTAGGATTTGAATAGGTGCTTCAACATAGGATGCTGGTATTGAAGGTGGTGGCTTAGTATGTTGTACCAACACTGGCCCGTGTTGGCTTACCTTTAATAACATTAATCACATGACTGAAAAGATATGTCAATGCATTTTTGTTTGCCTGAAGGTTGATAAAAAATATTAAGAACAATGATTTAGGTCTGTTTCCTCTTTCTGAAGAGACTTTTTCAGTATCTGTGATTTCAGCAGATTAAAGCCCATCTCAAACAAAAATCTTGGCTTACTTAGGAGTAAATCAGAGGTGAATACAGAGTCAGTTCCGAGATTGAAAACTCTTGTGAGTTGAAGAGTGCCCCAAGCCACAAAACTTGAGAAGGCTGGCTGTCTTTTGCTCCTGGGTTCTGGTTCTGTAGACTAGGGAGGACTAGTTCTGGTCATCCTTGGTGGGTGACCTAAGACAGAATGCTCAGGCAGCTCAAGTTTAAGGAGATGGTTGGTCAATGTGCTCTATCAATCCAGCAAGAAGAAATACAAAGCAACAAAACTAAGGAGCAAGGGGAAGGAATGAAGGGAACAGAAAGGCAAGCAAAAAAACAGAGAAGAGAAAAATCAGGGAAGATCTGTTTCTGAAAACTGATTGTTTTTCAAGTGGAGATGGGGGGAGAGGTGACAGCAAATCTTAAAAGATCCAGGCAGTAGATATGTTCTCCATCACAATGGCTCAACTCTGTCCCACAGACAACAAAAAAAGCAAATGGGAATAGCCATGTCCCAATAAAACTTTATTTGCAAAAACAACCAGCCCATACTCTGCAAACCCCTAACAGATCATCAGAAAGCCAAAGGCAGCCTCCACAGGCTGCTCTAAACCCAGAAGCAGCTGTGCGCCTTTCAGGGCTAGCCCTCTGGGATAGTCAAGCCCAGTTCTAGGTGTTTTAACAAGGCATCAGGTGTCTGCAGCTCGCATTACATAGTACGCAGTTCTTTCCTGCTTGCTTCCTAGGTTCACTCCTCAATTGGATTGCCGTCCACACATGACAGGGACAGCTCCAGGATAGAAAGAGGGCAAAAACCTTAATTCAAAGTAACTATACTGAAGTGATGCCTTCTACTGATGATTTATCTGAACAGTAAGAAAATTTGCCTGTGCTGTAAGTGATGCATGAAAGATCCCACTGGAAAGTACAACATAGGAAAGGATGAAGCGTACCTTTTCCAGCCATACTGTTCCAAGCAACAGTGAGGCATGAAACCCACAGACTATCATTCGTTTGGATGAAGCTGTTTACAGTCTCTACTATGGAATTTGAGGGACTATGCAACTAACAGTGGCAGGGACAGACTTCTGGAGGAAACCCCAGCTGAAGGATGAGGGCTGTCAGCCTTCCGGTGGCACTTGAACCTGCTACAGACGCGAGGAAGTGCTAGGGATGAGGCTTTGGACCCCACAAAGGTGGCTATCTGCATGCTGCCCTCCCACACTAGGGGCATCCCACGGAACAGAGAATGGGTCTTCTGAAGAGGGCCCAGCTCTGGGGGAGTTGTGGAGGGGCTCCCCTTTTGGCTTCTCAGGCATCTTCCAGCCCCTCTGGAAACTCAGAAGGAATACCAATGCCCTCTGGACATCAGCTTCAGATCCAACCTTGGGGTTGTCATGCCACTGAGTAAATATAAAACCAGGAGAATTCCTCATATGGAATCCAGAATGTGGGCTGGACCACCCTCGGATATGATAGCAAGCCATACTTGGAGCGGCTAGAGGAAGGTCTTGGCAAGTGATGGAAACAAGCGTTGACACCAAGCTTGCAGGTGGAAATGTCTAGCACACAGCTTTGCCAGCATCTGAGGGGTCAAACGGCCTTCCAGAGGTGACCCTGAATCTTTTTTCTCTATTAAAAAAATTAACTGAATCAACAAAGATGAGATTCAATAAAAACAATTTTAAACTGTAAAGTGTCCTAATTATGGCTATTTGAATCTTAAGTCTACTCAAATGTAGTATTCAAAGTCTAAGTTGATTTGAAAGATGATCCATGGCAGGTTAGGTATATAACCTAATTTTTCAAATTCACTCTAGAATGGGAGAAGGCTGTTATTTTGAAGAGAACTTTTAAAACAATAAGAACTTGGAAAAGTAGAGGAATGAATAATAAACCTGAAACTGGGAAAGTTTCACTCACTTTTTATCACTTAACTTCTTCCTAACCTGACACAAGCACCTCACAAGGTAGGCTACATGCACCAAGAGGCACTCTTACAGGTAAGAGTCTACATACCTAACAGTGGCAAATATCAGTTAGTCACCACAAAAATAATATCCAGTGACAATTATGTGAAAACATACTTTTTAAACCTTTACAAGCATTTTTAAAATATAAATGAACATACTTATAAAACGTATTAATGCTTCTGTGCAACTTAATGCTGAGAGAGGGTTGCCAACATATACACTCAGCAGTTTCATTAATATAGGTAGCTCTTGAATGGCCCAAATCAAATACATCAAAAAAGAAAAAAAAAAGACTCATGGGATAGAGGAGATTTTTTTTTTTAAAATGAGGGCTTCACCTAAAATTGTAAGCTTCACTATCTATGAAATTCAACATAACTCTCAATTTCTCACAATGAAATGCAGTTCTTCAGTTTTACCCAATCATCAGATGTTTCCATGTTATACAATAAACCTCTATCAGGATGAAGAGGCCTGTTTTATCACGATTTGCATGAAAAAAAAGTCCATCTGAGTTTATCTAAAGAGATCTGAAACAATCTAAATGGAAATTTTTCTTAAAAAAGAGGGCAGCAGCTGTCTACACAAGCCTATTTTGGTGACAGAACATGTGAAAGAAGCTAGTTGAGGCTCTGACTACCAAACCTCTTTCGCAGGATGGCCCAATGGAAATGTCAAACACACACTGCTTTTTCAATGGAGCAGTGTCATAGGCACTGAGTTAAAGCCAACACACCTGTCTTAGGCTTCAATAAGCAAAAGCAAATGAAGCCGATTACAAGGACTGCAGTTCTCACTTCTGAGCCAGAGCAGAGACTGAACTGCTGTGGACAGGAGTGACACTGTAGCATTTAACTACTTACACAGCACTGATCAGGCAAAACGGCCACCTACTCCCTACAAGTGCATTGTTACCAGAATGCACTGGCTGAAGGGTCGAATCTGGGAGTGGTAAAAGTGTGAGTGCACTACAATATGCTGTAGCTGCTTCCTCCACCTTTCCCTGACTCAGCGTGTTTAGCTCTTTCTCAGCCTGGTGTCCAATGGTCCTGGCAATGCCCATGGAAACATGACATCATTTTTAGAATACCTGGCTTGTGCTCATTATTTAGCCTGGTGTACTGCATGGGGGAAAAAGAACTGCACTGTAAAACTGGGATTAGGAGACAAGCGTGGTTGATAACCACAAGCAAATAAACCCCAAAGCCTGGGTGCACAAACACCCTTCCACTCTTGTATCACTGGAAGTACATCTTGGATTTCTCTGAATATGGAAGCACTCTGGTAGGGAAGAAAACAATATGGTCATTCTCAATATAAACATCAAATTACAGCCAACAGATTTTTTTTCCCCCAAAAGTACAACGACAACTTTGTTAGAGTGCTAGTCAGTTTGAAAAGCCAAAAATGAAGAGGATGGTAAGTGATGGTGACATATTCTGGGGTGGTGACTAATTTCTAAAGATCATAAACTGAAACTACACCTATGACAGTGTTTTTGTCCCATGAGCACATTATTTAAGAGTCCATGATTAAAGGTGAAAGGAGTGACCAACAATGAGTAGTATCTTCTTCCCCTCAAAGGGAGAAACATTAACCTTTTAAAATAATTCTAAGTTCTTTGCATTTTCCATATAACATAATAATGATTTGGTTTAGCTTTCAAATATCATCGGAACAAGCAGGACGGAGGGGGAAGTTCACTGCCAGGGTCTGCGGGGTGGGACACCTGTTCGGGGACAGAGCTGCAGGGCGGCTGTTGGAAAGCTCCTTTCATGTGCATGATGGTGGTCTTCTCGGCTACAGTACAAGTGCGTGTGCATCAAGTATAAAATACAAGCCTTTGATCACATAGATCAGCTTTTTAGCTTTTGTAAATCTAAAAACAAAAAGGATAAATAAGGCACTGTACTTTTTAAAACAAAAACTGCTTGGTTCCAAGTTTAAAACCCAAGGAACGATCACAATATAATATATAACTTCCCTTACTCAGTCTCGGAGAAGGACTCTGCAAGTTCCCCTTCTCCACCTGAGACATATTTTCTGACATCTCAAAGGGGGGGAGTGTTCTCCGTTGACTGTAACTTGAAAGGCTTGATAAGCTTATAAAAGCAGATTCAGTTAATGCAAAATAAAAGGTTACTTCTTCAGAACTAGTTTACTCTTAGCTGCTGCTCTCTGGTCATTTTGCATCCAGCCGCCTCCGTTTGCTGTGTGTAGAGTCAAGCTTTGCCTTCAGCTTTCTCTTTCTCTGGGCTGCTCTGGTCTCTGAGTTTTTTGTTGAGGCTCTGGCTCGGGTCTTTCCACTGCTCTGCTTTCTGTTTGCGGCTTTCTGGGGCCTGGAGGAGGACTCACCTGTTCCCCGTTGCTTTGCAAGTTTGCTCAGTGCTTCCGAGGCAGCGGGCAGGGGAGGTCTCTTGCTGGTATTCTCTTTTTCTTTCCTGGAGGAGGGGCAGCTCTTTCCAGGGGATACTTTAGAATTCTTCACTTTATTCTCTTTCAAAGACACCTTTCTGGGCACTTGGCTGGCTCTGTCCCTTGCAGCTGGCTTCCTGGTTGGAGGGGTTTTGGTGGCTCCATCAACATGCTTCTCTCTGATGGCTCTCATTCCAGGTCCTCTGTCTCTGCTGCCCTGAGTGCTGCTGCCTTCTGTTCGCTTACGTTTATTCCGAGCTTCTGCTTTAAGCAAGATTTCAGACCCCTGCTTCCCTTTCCTTCCCTTCATTCCTTCGGTGTTCTTGGGCTTCATGGGAAACCCATCTGCATCCACTTGCAGGGCAAGCTTGGGGGACATCAGCGGGTTAATGCAAACACTCTTGCGACTCTGCTTGCTTTCCACAGCTGGACCAAATGGGCTTTCAATTTTCTCATTTCTGACCAACCGTTGCTGGGCTCTCAGTTTTCCTCGAATATTGGAATATTTTCGAAGGATCCGGGCACTAACAGGAGTAGGCGGGTTTGCTGGAGGATGGCTGTTCCTTTCTTCCTTGACGTCTTCTGGGCCATCTTCAGAATGAGGGTTGAGGCTGGCATCACTGCTGTCCTCTGGATCCACTTGGTCAGGATTCTCTCGAAGTTTGGCCCAGAGCTTCTGTGTTTTCCAATTGTTCCGAGCAGGAGTAGCTCCAGGAAATTTCTTTAAGTGTTTTTTCAAGCGTTCAGCTTGCAGGGAGCTGGGATACTGGCTGGAAGGAGGATATTTCTGAAGGGGATGCTTGACGGGCGGTACATCTCCTGGAAGTCGAGTATTGAGCTTCTTCACGATGACCAGTGAGCGCGTTTCCGTTGTCTCTAAGAACCATTTACAAATGTTAGATAATTTAAAGTTTGTCATAAACAGTGTCTGAACGGGAGAAAGCTTCTGAACCTCTAATGAACCCTTACATTTCCGTGATCTTTTCTTGCTCTTCCAAATCTCCTTTAGTTTGTCTGACCTGTTCCTTGCTCTTGGTGTTGCCTGGACTTCTTTCTCCAACTGGATCCAGCCCTTCTGAACTTTCATGTACTGGGCATTGAAGTTGGCGATAAGCTCCTGGTTTTCCTCCTCAGCACACCACTCCATAAACTTGGGCTGGTCATCCACCACTGTCTCCGTGTCGTCTTCATCCGAGGCATCTCCATTCTCGGTGGCTTCATTCTCCTTTGGCATTGGGTTTATTCGTGCAGCTTCTTGTTCTGAACTCATTTTCATAGTATCCCAAGAGTTCAGAGAATGGGTGTGTCTCAGGTTGTAGGTTGAACAGGTCTGTCTTTTAGGCCTTGCTACCAATTTCGGCGGCTCAGCAGCATCACCATCTAAACTACTGGATGAACCAGGTGCGCTGGAAAGGGCATCACTGCTATCACCTTTAATTGGGGCGTTTTCACTGCCTGCCTCATTCATAGTCTCCTCCATATCCTGGGCGCAAGTGGGTTCTAGCTTCTCTGACTCTTCCAGGCCCCTCTCAGAAGGAATATTTGAAGAGGGAACATGAGCATTCCTTTCCCCAGTCTTAGATTCAACGTAGATTTCCAGTCTCTCTCCAGGCAGTGGCTGTCTTGTGGTGGCTATGGGATCACTGCTGGATATAACCTCTCCTTCTTTCCCGTTGGTATCTTTTGCCAGCATGTTTTTAAAGGTCTGTCTGGTGATGACCCCACTGCCTTTGCCCTCCTGCTGCTCAGCACCTCTCTCAGTGGGACATTCACTGGCAAGTGAATTTTCAATGTCCTCCCCAGCTGCTGAATGAGAATGGTCAGCAGGAGCACCCTCAGGTGTTGTCCTGCCTGCATGACCTTCCTTTTTAGCATGTTTTGCACTAGGAATTTTAGAAGCCTTGACCTCAGGACAACGAGAGGAATCTAAACTCTGATTTCTGAGGAGTCTTTCAGCAGAGGGAGAATCAGAAAGCTGGCTCCTTAAGCATCTGTCGGAGGCCTTGGGGAATTTTTTACTTTTTTTCTTCTTGCCCAAATTCTCTTCAGGTAAATCAACGGTTACATCGCCTGTATCTTTTTCTGAAGAGGATTTTGTATCACTGTCCTCTGCCTTTACTGGTTCTTTACCACCTGCTGTCTCACAGTCCTCAATCTCACTGCTGAGGTCTTCACTAGCAGAAATGCTGCCTTCCTTCAGGCACAGGGTGGCATCCAATGCCTGAGTGTCTTCCATTGTGGCCTCAAGACTGATGCTTTGGTCATCCTTGGCCTTCCCCAGACTTGTGGTAGGCTCCAAGACTACTGGCACACTTTGATTTTCTGAGATGAGGAGACTTTCTTCTCCACTGACCACTTCAGGGGATGGAGGCCTAGAAATAGCTTCCCTACCAACACCAGTGATGTCAGTACAGGGAACCAGGGGGCAGTCTTGCGAGGCACTCATCTCCTCTACATCCAGCATTGGGTCTGGCTGCTGGTGTCCTTTAGGGGAAGACACTGTACTTGCTGTGGGAGCTGCGGCCATGGGGCTGCTTTCTGGTCTGTCCTCTTCAGCAGGGTGAGCAGGGAGAGGACACAACAGGCTGGCAGCTGGGATTTCTTGTGACTCAAGGGAGCAGCTTGGATCTGCTTTGTTTATCAAGCCAACCTCTGGCTCTTGAGACTCCTTTTCAGACGAAGCAGCCTGGCCTCCTTCCTCCAGCTGGGAGGTTATCCCCTGACAAGCTTCTTCAGGGCTCTCTTCTCTGGGAAGCTGGATGTCTACTGTGTGTCTCAGGGGTGAAGTTGTAAGGATCTGTGCAGGAGTAACCACCGCCTCAGATGCCAGCCGTGAGCAGCTTGCTTTTTCCTGGGAGTGTACATTTCTGGCCAGTGTGCGAACAGTTGGCAGCTCACAACAGTCACCATTGAAAAAATATCCTCGAGTACTCTTCCTGGCTGTCTTCCGGGAAGACAGTACTGACCTCTGATTCTCAAAGTGGCATTCTGTTATTGGCTGACTGATATATACAACATCACACTGATTATCATAATCATTGATTCTCAACCCTGATGCCCTTTTACTTTTCCGAGCTGTCTTGATGGAGGCTGACATCATCTTGGCTCGAGAATGCCCATTAGATGCTCTGTGCCCAGCTGGCATGGGGCTTAACCAACCATCTTTGGAATGATCAAACTGGCCCTTCTCATTGGGATGTAAATGGTAACTAATCTTATTTCTTCCTAGTGAGTGAAGATGGTTCTCTTGCTTTGGCCTTGCATCATGTTCATCTGCTTCTGAGTCCTGGTGTGAAGGTGTTCTTGAGCTACACTGTAAAGCATTCTCTTTGTCAGCAGTTCCAGGAGAATTCCCCATCAAACCTGAGTCCCAAGCCTCTTCAGATAAGGCTTTGCATGAATTTCTTTGAGAAACAACATTGCTATTGCTCTCCTCACTATGCTCAGCTGCCACTTTTACTGCATTTAAACTTTTTACTAAAGCTGAACTCTGCATATGGTCTTGGCCATCGCTGCATATTTTCACATTTGAGTCTTGCTCCTGTCCAGTGGTTTGTCCCTCCAAGCTTTTGGAGATATGGAGGGAGTTTAATGAGGAAGAAGTACATGCAGTGAGGTATCCTGATGTGGAACTCGCCATTGAACTGCCAGAGCTGGGTTTAGTGGTTGCAAGTTCAGAGGCATCTGTCTGGACAAAAGTCAAGGTATTCTTTCTTCCATCTACAGGGCTTGTCCCAGTAGGAGAAGGCTCCTTCAGAGGCTGTTCATTCAAGAGCAGAGGGCTGTGAGAGCCTGATGAGTCTACAGAAGAATCTATAGAAGCAAGGGACTTTGTTTCAACACATACGGCACCTTTTTGTATGGTGCTTAGCTGGGCACAGGCAGCACTGCACAAGGACGCATCCATTGTTGCTGACTCGGAAGGCTGCAGGTCTTCGGCGTCTGGCTGAGATTCAGTGTACAAGTCGTTCAGAACACGAATTAATTGCTTCTGATGATGAGTGCACAGCTTGACCATAAAGTTCTCCAATGGAGACTTCGACTGATGGTTAGAATTTACTGCTATTGTCTCTGTTGAGTTCTCACTAGACAGACAAAAAGAAACAATAAATTAACATGGTTATTTGCACTATGGAATTCATCAGATGTTATTCACACTGTACACAGAGTGGTAGCCTATATACTTATGATTCAATTTAGAGTATTTCTATAAAATATAAGGCCAGCATACTGTAGCTTCAACGTTAGTGACAAAATACTTCATACTATTTAGAAATAATTTTATCTTGAGAAAAGGAATATTGAAAAATTTTTTCCTCAAAATATAAAATTTTGGCCCCACTACTAACTCATTGATCAACATTTACAGGGTGAATATCCTTAATTCAAAGACCTGAAATCTGAAATATGTCGAAATTTCATTCTTTCTCAGCAATGACATGATGCTACAAGTAGAAAATTCCACATCATGGCACTTCATTTCATGTGCAAAAATATTAACAATATTTTACAATGCCACTTTCAAGCTCTATGCATAAAGTATGTATGAAACATAATGGCAATTTATGCTTAGTCTTGGTTCCAGCCCCAAAATATCTTGTATGTATACTAAGTAACTCAAAATCTAAAAATAATGCTAAATCCCAAACACTTCTGGTCTCCATGCCTTTTGAATGCAAGATATTCAACTTGTATTTCTGATTTATACATGGGTATTCCTGTGAAACAATTACTGGTTATAAGTCTACAACACTTGCAAGTATTCAGACACACTGTAATATAAATCCTGACTTAGAGGTCATAGAGAATAGGAAGTTCCTGGATGGCTTCTCAGTACAAACAATGAGCTGCATTTACACCACTCCCAGAAGTGATGCAGTAATCCTTCAGCCCCTTTCCCGGAGCTCAGAGGCACAGAAATCAACAATTCTACATTTCAGATGTAACAAAAGCTGTATTTGAAATCTGATAAGCAAGTCCTGACTTGCAGTCTCTAAACGAGGAAACATACAGGAACATGCACTGTCAACATAAGGCAGCAGCAGAACGATGGCTTCACCAAGCCCCACTCGGTACACTGTCAGACCTAGACCTTCAATCTATACTCATCCACAGGAAACCTCTACATGAAAGAACCCCTCTCACACATTTTCCTAAGCTATCCAGGTTATCCAGGGATAAACCCTTCAAACCCAATCAGAAGTGTGGGGCTGCCAAAAAGGATGATTCCAGAGTTAAGATAGGCTAAAGGTAGTTCCTGTTTGGAAGGCCTGGATACAGCTGACTGTGTTTCTATCTGTCTTTCAGCAAGCCCTTGCAGTTGCAGTGCCCTGAATTTCCTGGATGATACTTCCTCATAGGGAAAGCTGATATCACAGGCAGAAACTTTCCCTGCTACATATGCCAAAACACCAGCTCCTGGTTCAGATTTTGAAATTCATGTATGTGTATTTGTAACATTTTGCAAAATAATATTTTACACAAAGTAAACTCATGTGTAATTCCATTTTGCCACGAAATTTTGGAAGTACATGAATAAGTATCTCACAGCATCATAGTAAAAGTAAGCATGAGGGACTGTCTCCCAATCAAAGCACACTCAAGAAACATAATTAGGAGTCAATGAACCCTAATTTGGGACAATGTAATTCAGAATTTGGATGCTGTAAAACAGCAGCATCAGAGATGCTGATACAGGCTATACCAATCTTAAAGAGCCATTTAGAATAGTGGTTTGATATAGCTCAGATGGGAGAGATTAAACTTGCAAAGGATGTGCGGTAATGTAATAAGCTAAGCTTCCACTGGCAGCGTGGGCATCCCTGTGCCCTGCATCTGTCACTTCTGATCCAGGTCACTGTTTATGGCCTGGGAAAGCAGTAGAGAAGGTCATCCAAACGGGAGACCTGGAGGAAGCTTCTAGCTCCTAGTTTAAGATCAACTGAGCTCCAACCGTTGAGGCCATTTGGGGAGTAAGCCAAGGGATGGAAAATCTATTTCTGTCTCTTCTTTCTGTAAATTTGCCTTTCCAACAAAAATAAAAATAAATCTTGAAAAAAAAAACTTGGCAGGTGACACCAACAAAAGCTCATGTGTATCTTTTCCTAATAATAAAAGCTTCAGGAACAATGTATTGGTGAAACGTAGGTCAGGTCACAGAGCAGGTAAGGTTCACTGCTGGCCAACTCAAAACTATTCTTAACTGGAATGACTGTATCCTTTTCTTGAAATCCTGCAGAGGAGTAAATTGTAGAATACCCTGGAAATTATATGAGTCTTGTATATTTACACTGTGATCACTGTATTTTACTGCTTGTCTTGTCAGAATCTTAGCTTCCCAAGCAGATACAAGCTACTTGAGGATAGATAAGGAGCAGGTTGTAGGTCTTCCCATTTTACTCTAGTAAAAAGAGGGCAGGGAAGGGGGCATCATGAATGTTTCCTGGGCAGCACCACAGAATCAGAGAGCAACACCAGCAACAAAGCTGGAGGTCAGTGGCTCGTTTTCTACACATGATCTGATGAATTTTGCTCTGTACTTGCAGAATCTTCAAAGATTCTGAATCTGAGATATCTGGTGGGCAATTTAGCCACAGGCATAAACCCATCAGTGGCTTCCTTGGAGTTGGGCATCTTTACCTGAATATTTATCTTTGTCCAGGAGCCATTAAATGGCTTTGTTCTAATAGTTAACTTTACAATTAGTATCTATTATTTAAAAAAGGAATAAAATCACTTTTGGCTACAATCTCTAAATTACCCAGCATCCCACCGTGTCCGATTTGTTTCTAAAATTTTTGTCAACAGAATCAAGTTCAGATGAATTTTAGTTTTCTATAATTTTAATATTTTTAAAAAGTAATCTCAATTTCCTAAAGTTTACTTGTATTTTTACGTCAAAACAAAATGAGCATTAGTTATTTTTCCCTGAGTTTTAGATGGCAAGTGTTCTAGCTTTGCTTCTAGCTACCAAATTCTACCTTAGCCTTGGGTCTTGAATAAAGCCTAAATATAGCACATGACTTAATTCAGAATATTCTTAGGCAGCTGGTAGCTTGCAGACTACCCAGAGAGCATGCGTTTTCTGCTTGCACACCATGACGCCAAAATGACCCAAAGGGAAGCAGTATGTTGTAGTTTAGTGATTACTATCTGTATCACATATTACGTCCTTCACATCTGAGTCTTTGTAAGAACAAAAATTCATTACAGAAGGTGCTATCACTTGAGTTCATGTTTCCGTTGCTTAAAAAGAAGATTCTGTAATTGTTAAGTGAAAGACTCATACATCACCACTGCAGCAGAGTAAGATAACAGGGATAGCTAGATGGGAGGACAAGGGGGAACCTGCCTGAGTCAGTTTTATCTCCTTGATGATAAATGGCTCACATGACCTTGACCACTTTTTCTGTCTTCAGTTCAATGCTTAATTCTAGAGGGTGTGGTAAAAGGATAAGATAATATTCATAAAGGCATTTAATATTCATTAAAAGGCATAGTTTCAGAATGATGTGTTGTTTCACAATCAGATCTTTAATGATTTACTTAATGATGTTTTTTCTAGATCAGAGGTTAGACACAGCTGAACTAGCATACTTAGTCAATAATATAGTACTTAAAATTCCTGAAGGAAAGCATTCCTGTGGTTAACAGAAATTGTGGATGGTCAATGCTCATGACATTTCAGGATGAAAGATCAATCAGGGAAGAGATAACAGCAGCAGCTGAACTGACAAGTTTAAGTATCAGGAATTTTAGAATGATGGATTCAGGTGGTCTCTCCATGACTGTCTGATGGGCAAATGCAACACTACTGACGAACAAAATACATTCTTATTGACAGAAGAAAGGTCAATAGCGACAGTGAATGACATCTGGATGGAAGCTAATCCAAGCAGCAGAAAAAGGAAGTTCCAGGAAAATAAGGCTCTCGCCTTACACCAGAGGCTACAGTTATAGGAGTTAATTCAAAAAATTAACTTGACTCATCTGTTTAAATAAGACATAATAATGAACCCCTTAAGGTACTGAGTTCCCTAGTTATGCTCCCCATTCTTCACTTATAGTCCTATGAGCACATAAAGCGTAAGTATATTGAAATGCCTGACTAATTTTGCAGGGAAGTTCTTGCTCTAACACTGGGAAATGCATCTGTCCGTGGCTATTTTTACATCTGTATGCCTTTCACACTCAGACATAGAGCTATTCCACACTAGAGAGGGCAGGTATGAAGTGTGGAAATCTTTTTTTCAAGAAAGCTACATATAGCTGTACCTGTAAACCACTGATCAATCAATTTTATTTTTTTTCCCATGGAACTGAATATTAAAAGGCGCAGGCAGAAACGACATTTCTCGGACTAGAAAGTGATCTCTTCAAATACCTGTTTCACAAGGGACTGAGATAGAAATTACCTACATTTAGATTTGGATAGAGTTTAGATAGGGAAAGCCATTGACAAAATGAGGGCTGGGAAAGAATTATCCCTTCTAGGATGACTGAATCATGGAGGACTGGTTACCCCACCCCTACAGGAGTCCCAGCCTCAGTGAGTCCCAACTGACAATGGCAGCATCACTTCTTCAGATTCTTAATGAACTACTAATGTAAAGCGGGGGGCACACAATCTCTTTGAAAGGGCTTCTGAAGTTTACCATGTTTGAACTAAATTACCAAACACAGGTTTCAAAAGCTTATGAACTGGAGAAAAGGCATTTCCAGTGGTGACAAAGAGACAAGAGGCACTCACTTGCTAGTTTTTCTGTACTTTAGTGCTGAAAATCTCTGATAAAACATTATTCCAAGTAGATTCCTAAATATGACAGATGTATTTTTCCACTTTAACCAAATTTGTTAAACTGCAGTGAAAATATAGCTAAGGAGATTCTCGGAGTACAATGAGATTCTCATGCTGTTTTACATGATGTCACTTCAGAGGCAAATGTATCTACAAGCCAAAACATAATCAGAACATTATTTGGAGAGCAGAAGTGAGAAGGTGACAGGTAATTAGACACGATAGCCTAACCCTTTAATTCCTCTCCAGAAGTATAATGGCCTTACCAGACCCTCTATGTCTCCCCAG